GGTACCGTAGCATTCCGAAAGTAACGACCCCCGCTACGGTCGGACTTAGCAGGCAAAGGCGGCCGCTACTCTCGGAGAGCCGTTACTCACGGATGGTTAAAAAACGTTTGTATGTTTTAGACAAAGCGGACGCGTGACATGAAATTAAAAGTTCCGTTTATGTATGTTACTAAATGTACCCATATAAACAAAGCACACTGTACAACGAAAACGGCCCTCAATTATGGTATTGTAGGGCAAAGGTACAATGGTCGCATCATATCATAATGTCGCACTGTATCATTTGTGACCCTGCTGCCAACCAAGTACAGCTAATAATCAGAGTTCCAAGATAGATTTGGATGAGTTCGTGGTAAAACCACAAATTAATAACTGTTTAAGTTGTTCAGTCCTGCGGTCGGGTGGATCCATTGGTATTGCGCTTGAGATCAGAGTTTCTCTTCCAATGACTTCTTCAAAGGGCCGCTACTGTCGGGTGGGCCGTTACATTCGGGGGGACCGTTGGGGTTCAACAGGAAGTTACTTTCGGGGAACCGTTATTTTCGGGGGCCGTTACTTTCGGAATTCTACGGTATTCCATAGTTATTTTGCGTTTGACCTTTTCAATATTAATATATTAATATGACCCTTTCAAGACGAATTCTAAAGGAACCTGTTTTCAGCTGACGCACTGTATTAAATGGACACTGGCAAGGGTCCCCAAAGTGCCTGCTCAATACAGGTTTGACTGTAGCGTTAAAAACAAGATTAAATAATAAAATGACATTGTCTATTTGAAATATTTGGGCGAGTCCCTTTGTTTTAAAGAACGTGGTAAACTGTTCTACGTTTTACATGTCCTGGTTCTAACTTCAGACTAGCGATTAAATATCGGGGCAATGAATTAAATTAACATTAGAATACCAAGTCTGTCTAGAGTGAACATGCTGTTTAACGTAAGTAAATCGTTAAAATATAAGGGCACTTCACCTCGTAGTCGCTTATAAGCAATGATACGCTTAGATATCAAATCGTCTTTATAGGTCCACATAGCAGCACATGGCAATAGCGAACATGGAGAAATTGCTCTGGCTCCAAACTCAACACAGAAGTATATCAGTCGAGCGGAGTACGAAAAGCATCACATGCTGAAAATAGCCGACGTGCAAGCTGTTCAGCTACGAGCAAGGCTTGTTGTTCTTAGTTGCTNTACTACATTCTGAGTTTCCTGGTGATGAAGAAAAGTTCTCAAACTTGGCAAGCCCTACGTCCACTCAAACAGTTTTTGTGGCACTCCAGGGTAAAAAAATCAATTTATGGGTCCTATGCAAGGGAAACAATGTCCAGTTTCGACAAAACACGGTAGAAGAGAGAGATGCAGTTTGCTTTATAGAGCGGTTGAGGAAAAGTGTTCTGAAAGAAAACCAGATTCGTGGTCGTTCTTTAGATAAGCTGAGAGAAGAATCTCCACCAAGCCATTCATCTGATCAAACAGTACAGTTGACACCAGCCACAACCAGTTCTTTGCGTGTTTTGTACCGCAGTATTTTTGAGCCCATCAGAAGCATGTTAAAAGGGGATGAAATAGTCATTGTTCCAGATGGTCCACTACACCTTACTCCTTTCGCTGCGTTTTTGGATGAAGCTTCAAGATACCTGAGTGAATCGTTCAGGATCCGTATAATCCCCTCGCTGACCAGCTTACAGCTGTTTGAAGATTGTGCTGGGAGCTACCACAGTAACACTGGGGTGTTGCTTGTTGGCGATCCATGTTTGGAGCAGGTTACAAACATCTTTGGTGAACCCATTTTGCCACAGCTGCCACATGCCATGAATGAAGTAAAGATGATTGGCGAGATTCTAAACACCACCCCCCTAACAGGAAGGGAAGCAACTAAGGAAGAGGTGCTTAAAAGAATCACCTCTGTTGCTTTGGTTCACATCGCAGCACATGGCAATAGCGAACATGGTGAAATTGCTTTGGCTCCAAACTCAACACAGAAGTATATCAGTCGAGCAGGGTACATGAAGCATCACATGCTGAAAATAGCTGACGTGCAAGCTGTTCAGCTACGAGCAAGGCTTGTTGTTCTTAGTTGCTGCCATAGTGGCCAAGGAGAGATCAAAGCTGAGGGTGTGATCGGTATTGCTCGAGCTTTCCTGGGTGCTGGGGCTCGTTCTGTTCTAGTGTCTCTCTGGGCAATTGATGACAAGGCCACTTTGGAGTTTATGAAATTCTTCTATCAAAACATCCGTGATGGAAACAGCGCCAGTGTGTCTCTCAACCGGGCTATGAAAAGTCTCAGAGAATCAGAAAAGTTTAGTGAGGTGAAACACTGGGCCCCGTTTGTACTCATTGGCGATGACGTCACACTGGATTTTGGAGCACTGTAAGTAAAATATGTTTGAAAGCTCAACCGTTGTTAACCCCTGCTNGCCAAGGAGAGATCAAAGCTGAAGGTGTGGTCGGTATTGCTCGGGCTTTTCTGGGTGCTGGAGCTCGTTCTGTTCTAGTGTCTCTCTGGGGAATAGATGGCGAGGCCACAATGATGTTTATGAAAATCTTCTACCGACACCTGAGTAAAGGGAGAAGCGCCAGCGTGTCTCTTTACCGAGCTATGAAATTTCTTCGAGAGTCTGCAAAGTTTAGTGCGGTGAAGTACTGGGCCCCTTTTGTACTCATTGGCGATGACGTCACGCTGGATTTAGGAGCACTGTAAGTGAAAATATTTGAACGCTTAAGCACTTGTAACCCCATTTATTAAAAACATGCACTTTTTCTTTATTCGAAACCAGAATGCGAATGCCCTGATTTAATAACACATAACTTCCTCCAAGTTGGACGTTTTGAACATTTCGGTTAATATGTTTACTAATACACTGCTGATCTAGTTGTTAGATGCATGTACATGTGTAAGTGAGGTGAGGCACGCAGATTTTCATAAGAGAGAACAAACTTGCTTCGACGCTTTCACAATAAATTCAAAATCTTAGCTGAGTTACGTTTAAAAAAATGATGAAATTGAGGAAAAAGAATTTCAACATTCTTTTGCAGCCCGTTTTTCTCTCAAGCACGCCGTGTGGTGTAATTATGACTCAAAATATGTTGTATGGCCTTGACTTTATTCCCAAAAGTCAGGAGATTCAGCATATAAAGAGAGGATGTACTTACTAAGCTCTCGCGATTATGGATTTCAAAATATTGGGTTAGTTACTTTGAAAAATGAGCAAGTTATAGGAAATGAGTTTCAGTTCTATTTAGTACCATCTTTACACTTTTTAATGAGCCATTTCAGAGTTGCTCCTACCTCTGTTTCAACACGAATCTTGGTGTACAACCTTTCATACTGAAGTGAGCTTTCTTGCCAATAGCTTGTCTTGCAAATCAAAGTAATTTCCATTCGAAAGGTTGTGTACCAGGACTCGTTTCGAAAAAGAGGTAAAAAGGAAATGGGTTATTACGTTGTGTGGTGACTGTGGTTCGAAATACTCCTTTTGGGCTAAAATTGTGCAAGGTCTGAAATTGAATGTAAAACACTCCACACTCACTCATACGTTTTTACTTTTGCAGACGATAAATCTGAGCAGATACAGGGGAAGTGTTTAAGAAGCACACTAAGGAATAAACACTGCCTGCAAGCATGCATGTATTTCTATTTTCAGTAATTCTTAATAATCCTTTCTACCGTACTTCTTATCAGTTTAGTTTCTAGTGAAACATTTATCTTTATTTTACACCTACTGGTATTTAGTTTCCACGAATATTTAATTGTACGAGATGAGAATAGTTTTAGGATGGGCGAGCATGTTGCGAGTAACAGAAAACACTACAAGTTTCTTTTATAATCAAGTGTAATAGCAAAATTAGCGAAATCGACATTGTTAAAAGTGAATTATTCTTCACCAAGTAACAGCTGAAACAAGTCAACTGCACTATGAGTCTTTGAATTTTGTTTCTTCGTTACAAAACTTTTGTCTTTAGTTTAGCCGCGTGTTAGAAGGGGTATTTCCTTTGTCAGTCCGGGCCATGGTCAGCTTGAGCTACTTTATGTACGTGACCATTTTATCTTCTATCTTGGATCAAACGCTGACTAAAAATTAATTTTTCTTAGCTTTCAGTCACAATTCGATGCTTGAAAAGAAAAAGACCATATGAAAATGTTACGGAAAGGGCCTTTGAACATTTGAACAACTAATACTAAAGCAAGCAAGTTTTTTATTAGGCAAAAACTTTTCAATACAGGCAGATATTTTTGCAAGTTAGTATTCTTTTTTTTCTTCTAAAATTGGGGGTTCAAAACATAGTGTCGAAACTTGATTTAATTCTTCGGGTAGGAAATATTCTCAAAGTATCTGAAAATTAGACAGAAAGAGATAAATTCATCACTTACCTCAAAATTACACAAACTACTATGCCTGCATGAAAAAAGTCCCATAATTCGGAATCTGTCAGTGCTCCCATGCTTAATTGTTCGACGAGCAACAAAGGGAAATTTCGAGATGAGAAAAGGTGCAAAATCTACCGGCTTTTGCCTTTTCGATCACTGATTTTTTGGTAAAGTGATATTGAACGAGCGTAATAAAGTGCAAAGCCACTAGATATACTCAAGTCTGACGGTGCTCCGGATTGTATTTGATTTGTTACAAGTAGTGCAAAGTAGTTTAAAGCATTTTTATTTAGCAAATATTGCGTTACTAACCTACTTCAAGAACTAAACCGGCTTGAGCTGTAATCGCCCCGTCATATATTATTTGTGAGCGTAAAAACTGTCACACGTGACTTATCGGGTGCATTTGCTTGGGAGGTGGACATCAAGTTGGACTGAACTGCTGTTTCATACATCAACGGAGCGGAACGGGGGAAACGCAACCATTTGATCATGGCTGTCACAGAGAAAAGAACAGACAGTTCCACAGCAAGGCTCCAGCGTCAACAAAGCCTCCGAACACCTCGTTAATTTATCAGTCTCCATAAAGATGAAACAATAGAGTGCAGGGAGATAAAGACTGAGAACTTAGTTGTCCGGATCTTTATTTGTTTTACAACGCTTTATATTTGAAGAACTGAGGACTTCTCCTCGAGTGACTGTTCATTGACTACAGCAAACACAGTAAACTTTGCCGGTGAATATCTTTGATTTAATTTTTTTATCGATATACTTAGCAAATAACTGTTTAGCTTTTTTAATGTGGAGATGTTTGTGTACGAGATATCGAGATCTACCACACAGCAAAGATTCAAGGAACGAGCATAATCCTTCCTGAAATGTGAAAGCGTTGTTTTCGTGCCGCTTTGTGCAGATTGTTGTTAATCTGTGGAGAAACCTTTGAATGCTCAGACATTCGGAGGAGTTATTCGAGGAAGGTTTTCTTAGCTGTTTGTTACTCGCCCAAACATGTCCACAGCACGATAATAAAGGGATTAATGTGCAAGGTTAAATATTGGTAAATAAAAATATTAAATATTAAAAGCTTATGGCTCTTTCAAGAGGATATGGTCGTCTTTGTACCTCTTGGGTGTGGCTTTTACCTTTTCACAGTCTTACCCCTTTACCCCTCTTGGACTCTCTCGTCCAAAGAAATCCTGCACAGATATACGTTATAGAAATAGACTGCGAAAGGGGAGTGCAGGCGCAAAAATTGCAATGTCAATTTTATGCCTGCGTTCGCATCACTCAACAGATTTTCCCCATACGGGTACGGAGAAACCCCCTTTGAGCCTTTGCGGGACTTTCCCTTGTTGAAAAGGTCAAATTTCCAGACGCTTGTTGAAGTGGCTCTAAGGCTGGTTTGAGCACAATGCCTTTCAGACTTGGAAGTTTAACTTAACCCTCGGATTCATATCCCGCACCATGATTCAAAAGGGGGCGGGGGGGGGGGAGTGAGTGGGTTTGAATGGAACCCCTCCCTTGCGTTTTCGTTCTGTTAAGGCACAGCGAAAATAATTTCTATTGAGTAGATAGCCCTGAGCTTGACACCATTCTTGTTAGTTATGACGTCAAATGAGGTCATTTGTCCCGGGATCTTGGATCCGCCATCTTGGATTCCAGCGGGGATTAATGCAAATTCAAGCCAGAATACTTATGGAATTTAAACAGTTATGAATTTCTGCAATTGGATGAAGAACACTGGAAAAATAGAGAATTGTGTCAAGAAAACATGATTTTTCGACCTGACCTACATCAAATTTGTGGTTGCCACGGCAACGTCAAAAATAATGGACACACACTTGAGTATCTTAGAGTAAAAAGTCTCTTTAAAACTTTTGAAAAAAGTTATGGAGGAGTGCATGCAGCCACCCCTCTCCCCTTGTACGCCCGGGGGTTTTGTTTGTTTGCTTTTTCCATTGTTCTGATACCTGTGGAAGCCAGTCACTTTTGGAAATGTAAACGACAGGATTGCAATGTAAAGCTACTTTACAAGTTACCAAAAAAGATAATTTCCCCGCTAGTGCTATTAGCCGAATGTTGAATACTTGATCTCAGGTCAAACGAAATGCGATCCACTTCATATGGGCTCTCGACACATAAGAGAATGAACACCTACAAAACACAAACAATTGTTAACTGCCAGGTTACTGACTACAGTCTAAACTCGCTGTTTCAAACTCTCACGGAAAACGGAAAATAGTTTTAAGATGTCGGGGATTAATATAAGTGATTAAAAAAGTATGCCTGACAGAAAGTCACTTGAGTTGGGATAACTGAGTCCGAAATAGCGAGCTTCTACTGCACACAGTAACTTGTTACACCTTCATCTATATTTAAAATCTGTAAAGGGATTAAGCCATCACCGGATATAAATAAAAAAAATAGGAAATAATAAATGTAACTAAATCTCTACTGGGATAAAAATTGGCGTGAGTGGTTCTACATCAACATTCGGTTGGTCTATCTCTTCAATATAGGAAGTGAGCTCAGTCCGGTATAGATTTTTTTCATAAAAGCTGAATTTGTAAGTATGCTCATAACCAAGCATTCAAAAATTTTTTTCTCTCCATTCCCCTGAAAACCAAGGGTTTATCGAATTAGTTTAGAGTCCCTGGGACTCGAAAATATCGTCCAAGTTCTTGGAAATCTAAGTAGGTCAAAATCACGGTGCGCGTAGCTCGGTCTCGGCGACTTTCCAGTCACTAAGTGAGTTAAGCTTGCAGAAGTTGAATGTGTGAATTTCATGAGATGGCAATGTCTAGTTGATCTCCGCTTGGGCATAATATATTCAGGAATCTGGAGGTCTAACTCCCCACACATCATAGTGAGTCTGGCTTCCTTCCGACGCTGTTCTAAGGACGCCCACTGTAGCTTGTTCAAGAGCCGGGTTACAAACCCTGATGTGTGAACATACTTCCAATGTCATTTGATTTGTTAGTCAGCTGGGCTTGTCCCCCTAAGGCCACGAGGAGCACAGCATAACTAAGGGATCAGAGCAAATGTAGTTCCCAGAGCCTTCGTTTCACTTGTCGCTCTCTCCACTGAGCTGCCGGAAATCTCGGAACAAGATTGTCCTGACACACGGTAATCTCAGCGCAACATATTCTCTAAAACCACTGAGCCTGCGCTTTGTGTAATTTCTGGTAAACTTGACGTAAGTACGATTGGTTTAAATGAATTTCCATCACTTTACCTTTCGTTCTCCCACCACTTTCCACAAGTCCACCACTCTTCCACTTTTCTTGCCTCGCAAAGCGGCTTTAGCTTCCTCAAGCCACACGGTCAATAGTTGGTCTTGCGTCTTGCCTGAAA